CTGGTTCATGTATTTTTTTTAATTTAGAGATATTGTTTCGCGCGTACGGGTTCGTAATAGACTGAATGTACATAGGTCCGATTATAGATTAGTAAAATTTATTTTATCAACAGAAACACTTCAATGTTGTACAGGTACTCGCAGTGTTACACAGTAAAATAAGTAGTTACACTGCAAACTACTTAGAACGTAAACATAATGAAATGCAAAGCGTATCTAAAGAGAAAGCTAATCCGATCTCTGAAATAATAACTCGCAACGATAACAACAACTAACTGAGTACAGATGTTCCCTCCGGCCATATATAGTTTTCAACCAGCCGCCGAGATATATAGTGCTTTCTGCTCCTCAGAATTACTGGAAAGCAATATGAGGGTCGAATTATGGTTAAAGCTAATATAGTTATCAATTATATTTATTTACAATACTTATTATGGTGATACAAGAACCGTAAAAAAGTAAAACAAGCCGACCCCCCAAAAAATCTGAAAGGTTTCAGATTTTAAATGGCGACCGAAGGGGCGTTTTTTGAACGTTTTGTGTGTTACCTTTATTTATTAAATATCCTGTTCTTTGCACTTAAACCATAAAATTCAGTTCAGTAGCAATGTCGCAAAATAATTTTTAAAATGAGCATATCTTTAGAATTTCCGATACACAGTTCCTCTCTCGCTGGAGATAAAAGCGTTTTTTCACCGCCGTAGAGTGTTTCCATTGCTCGCTTTTAAATAGTTGAGTTTGTTACTCAAAAGTTCGTTAAAGGTTTACAAAATATGAAATCGATAACGAAATAAATTTTAAAATTTCAAATTTGGTCTTCCACATGCCCATATTCGTAGGAGGCTGACGTCATTCGAAATTCGATGGCTCTATGTACCGTTGTTTTATCACAATGCGAGAAATATACATACATTTATGCAGACTTTTCACTACTTAATTTCTTCAAATATAACGCAGGTTTCTAACATTTGGTACCAACAGTTTGAAAAGTGAAACGGACATTTACAGTGATTCAACGCAAAATCGCAAAACGAAATAGTCCTTCAGGGACAAAGCCCCTTTGGACTAAAAATGGTCGTCAAGTTAGGCGAAAAAAAGTGGCCAAATCTGTAGTCAACTTGACGATGTTTCGCCAATTTAAGCAAGATGCCCATTCATTCAATGTTAAAAGGACCTGCCCCTGTATTCTTACTTTACCCACCTAGCTTATCTCTTAAGATTTTTCGCGTTACATTACTTAGAAAAATACAACAATTTAACATATAATTGTAACGTAATTGTAATGTCACATAAAATCATATATCTATGCACAAAACGCATAACAATATTGTAAATTCTGTGGTTGTCCAAAACGTAAACTTTACAAGTATCAGGACTACTATTGCGTCTAATTGCTTTGGCAAACATGTGGGTTTTCTGAGTAGAACAGCGAGTTTACTTTAAACTATATCCAATGAAATTGTAGAAGATATGTATGTCAGGGATGGGAAGGGTTTAATTACCTTTTATTCTTAACAGCTTACAGCTGCTCCCCCACTTCAGGATACAAAGACCAGTACTCGTGGTTTGAACGAAAAAAAAAGTTAAATAAGAGCTAAACTTAATTACTATACAAAGATTAGTAACGCTAACATTGGCCTCTTTTAGATCTTTACGTATGTAGTATGCAGAATACGGGAAAACTACAATGTGTCTTCAATATCAAGAGTACTAAATTTCTGGCCTTAAAGGCGGACGGCAATTGAATGAAAAGCGTGCGCGAAATAAGGTGGCAAGAAGTCTCTCTCTCTAACTCTTTCTTGACTAAAAACCAAAACTTAAATACTTAAGAGTTTAAAAGCTCAGTTTGTATACTAAAACTAACCGCGTTTATTCTTGCCAGAAGTTTAAAATAAGAGGGGACAGTAAAGTTTTAAAATAAAATAAACGATAATAAAATTTAAAATCTTTACACAAGTAGTCATTTTTCTGACGTTAACATTTCAAACAGTAGAAGTAAATCTTGGACAACTTTTTCCTTCTATCCAGGATTACTTCTGACGCATTTGAGATTTACGCATCATTCTTTGAAATACTGACAGTAGTCCTAAGGTAAATTTCTTATTTTAAAAATTTTCTCCCCACATAGTTTAGTATTTACTACTAAACTATATTCATAATGTTTTGCTGCATATCAGCAAAGATAAGAGTTGAAAATATTCCTGTTTCTTATTGCAACATTTCTTATTCCAGCACCTTATATACTCGTAATGATAATGAGTTGTAAGTTTTACTTTATTTTTCTAACAGTTAATTTTTTTTGTTTTTGTTTTGGAACAAGCCTTTCTTATACACTCTCCTTTCCCACCTACGTTTCCCTGCCAGAATAAGTTTTCAAAATTTCATTATGTAAATGAGGTAAAATCGAGTATTTAAGCTGAAGTCTGCGTTACTGCAATAGGATAGCGTGTTCTGCCTTTCGGCCACGTTGTTGCTGCTAGTCTAACTGCCTTACTATTACTTGCCTGTTACTATACGCCAGTGATCTTAAATAAGGGTCGACTCTCGTAGTTGATGCTGTGTAGCTTTGGCTCGTTACTTTTAGTTAGTATTAGATTATTTTAGAAGTCAAACAACAAAAATCATTGTTATATTTGCGCATTTTTCAGGGCTAGTTTCAATGGCTTAACTATCGAACCATCAAAATTCGATGTTTACAATTATTTGACAATGCTTTGAAAATTTTAGTGTATTTTTCACAGACTGAAAAACGAACCCTTAACCATCTTTTAAAACAGAAAAAATATTATTAAAGAATTGTAATTTAGCTATTTCCTCCCTTTGTATTTAGAAAAAGCCTACGATGTGAAAAAGAGTAGCTTCTTCCTTCGATCGTGCTGTGAAACGCATTTTCAAGGCTAACATGACACTGCTTCACAATAAAATCTACAGAGTCACAAATCGTTTTCTTTTCATTAGTTTACATGCATTTTTTTTTTCTAGATTTCATTTTAAAGGTTGATTTTTCTTAATTTTATCATGGTACGTACTATTATACTTTTTAAATATAGTTATAGAGACATTAGGTTATTTCAAAACGAGAGAGATGAAAAATGAGCAATGTCCTCGCCAGGACTCGAAAAACGGACCTCTCGAATACGTGTCGAGTGTGCTGACCACTACACCACGAAGGCATGCTAAGAAGACGGGATAAATGCATTATCTACTCCCCTTTTTCAAGGGCGACTGTGGATTAGCTATTTCCCCCATCCACCACATCCTGGTGGTGAAGAATCATCATCCACCATCTTTTTCAGTTCGGACGCCATTTGTAGAGTAATTAGGTTATTTGGAAGCAGGAGACTTAAAAAATGAGCAAGCCCTTCGACGAGGCTCGAATCACGGTCCTCTCGAATACGCGCCGAGCGTGCTGACCACTACACTACGAAGGCATGCTAAGAAAGCGAGACAAATATCTTGTTGATAGTAGTTTAATAGTTTAAAATATTAACATCCAAAACTGCATCTGTAATTTTCAAAGATTTTAAATTTTCAAAGATTATAAAAGAAAATCTTCACCCTCTTTTAAAACAAAAATGATTTAAAAAATCATTAATGAGTTTAATTTGTAGCATTTTTTTAAATGCTACAAATGCCTTGTTTTTATAATGCCTTGTTTTTATAATTTTTATTTGACTTGTTTATTGCATATTTATATAAGATTTAAAATTTTTTAAAGGCTAAGAAAGATACTCTACACTCTCTTTTACAATAATAATGATTTGAAAATGTGTTAAGGAGGCGACTTTTTTAGGACTTCATTCTTTAAATGCTCGCCTCGTTTTTAGAGGATTTATTACTACGGTTATTGAAACATTGCCATATATTTTTAAAGAATTCGCTGGTAAATATGCAGCTCACATTTTGCAGGCAGACTCACTATGGATAACTATGTGGTGGACATATCTTTAAAATTTGATTTACAGTTTTTTTATTTAATATTGAACTATTTTTTGCAGACATGTTCGTTTAATAAAAAAAAAAAAAAAAAAAAAAAAAAAAAAAAAAAACTCTGCCAGAATTTTACTGTTTGCACCAACGGATAAAATCGAAAACAATCTGTTAAATGATGTTTATATTACTTTACCACTTTGACATGATTACTGAATATTTGGCAAAATCGCTAGTTTTTTTTCGATTATTTGACGAAACAGACTTGTTGTCATAAAAGAGTGATTAGCAGTTTCTAAACGACAGTTTATTATTTAAATAATTTGTTCGATAACTTGTAATTGAAATTGGAAATTTTAAAATAAAAAAAATATTGAAAAAAATATTTTTTAATTACCTTGTGAAAAGTATCAGCTAATATTTCTATGAAATCATCAAGAGATCTCCTCGCTTTTCTCATTCGCAATAGGAAACAGTAAATAAATTATGTAGGGAGATTTATTCAATCTATTAAGCCGATTAAACTATATGATAAATTATTCTTCACCCTTCAGTTTGGTTAATTATTTTATGTTTTAGATAAAAGTTTATTTTTCAAAAACTTTTTTTAATATTTTTCATATCAATTACAAGTAATATTATTTATTAAAATAATCAAAAATTATTTTAATAAATAATATTTTAATTTTAATAAATTTATTTTTAATTTAATTTAATTTATTCATTTAATTTAAATTTTAATAAATAATCTTAAATTATTTTAATAAATATATAAGATTTGAATTCCTTGCAAATTAATTAAAACAATATATTTTCCTCATGTTAATACATTTAATTTACGTAGATGTTTGAGATATGTATTCTAAACACTATTAAATATTAAATCTTACATCAAAATAACGCTTTTGTGAGTGCATTGATTAACTTAAATGTCGATTTGCGATAACCCTTGCTTATATGTTTCCTATTTAAAAGGTTTTCAGGTGACCTATTATGTTCTAAGAAGATAATTATAAACAATTCAGACATTTTACTAATATTTATTATTTTTTTCTGTTGTTTTGTTTCAGAAAATCCATTCCACTGCAACTGCCAAATTTTATGGTTTAAAGATTGGATGAAGGATGTAAAATCTTCAGTTGTTAACATGCCACGGGAGACCAGATGTGAAGCCCCTCCACATCTCAAGGGTAAAGCAATCGCTTACGTCACAAATAAAGACCTCGGTTGCTTGGACGGAGATACAAGTTCCTCAGATACTGTGTCAATCAAGACTACTTACATCTTCTTTTTGCTAATAATACTGTGGAGGTGAAATGAATATTTTTGCTTATTCCTTACCTCCAGGCTGGGACAAAAAAAGGAACTGCAGTCAGATTTGAAAGTTGAATTATGTCTAAAATAATTATTTAAGTTTCTCATTTTGCACGTTTTATTTTTATTTAAATTCATTTATTATTTACCTGTTAATTATACAGTTTTTATTTTATACCCAAAATAATTAAGAATTTGCAATGTCCATATAATTTGAGAATTACATTGAGAGGGCAGACGAATATGTCAAGAGATGCCTTAATTTTTTCCTTAATGTATATGAATTAACTATTGTTTATAAATGCGCAGCATTACAATTAACGGACAGCAGCTTTCGTTTATTGAAAAAACTAAAAGGAAAAAAAAAATCTCTTTTCTAAAATTATTAGATATTTATTCAAAGGCTTAAATTTCATTTTTGCTTGCTGAGTAATATACAGCCTGGATGTTAAAGAATTTTAATTCGTTCTTTAAAAATAACCTTCACAGTGAACTTCAGCTGTTGTTTTATATGTACGTGTTCACGTTTCGTATGTAAGACGTTTTTTCGTATGCTTCTTGTCTTCTGCATAAAATTATCTTTATGCACTAAGTATGCACTATAATGTATACAATCAATGATTTTTACTGAAGAAAGGAGCGATGTTGCAACTTTTATATTTTATCTGTGATTTTGATTTGCTATAAAAAAACTTGGTAGCATGTTAAATGCAAATATTTTGAGATCAGGAAAAAATAACAAGCGACTCATTTTTTATTTCTGAAAAATATTCAAATGCAACATATATAGAAGTATGTAATTCACTCTCTTAAGATAATGAAGAACTGTTAAACGTGAACTAATATATTTAAATGTAGCAAAATATGAACTATACCATACACCTACTTTTAAATGAACTGATTTAACTGTTTGAAGGCACAAACGCCCAGATGGCCTTTCATTCAAGCTACCGCAACCACCCGAAACGGCCGAGATGGCAATGTTGTTTTCTTCCTAACCCTAAGGTATGCAATAACAGGTTGAGTTTCCCCAAATGCATTGTATCAGTTTATTGCAGACTACTTGTCCAAAAAGGCTAATGGAAGCTTATTTGTTAGGAAGTAGAAAGGATGCCATTTGTACTGCTCACAGCGCTTTTTATGCGTTAAATGACGGGTTGGAAGAAAACGTACTCAACGAGTAAAGTACGGGAACGGGTGCTTCGATATTCTAAGCATAGACGTTAGATAAGGATTCGGTTTTCTAAGGGTTAAGATTAATTACAAGTTGTTTCCGATGGAAAAATATTTTATATTTATATCTGCATATTGAAATTGTGAACTGCATTTTGTTAGCAGCAAAAAGAATTAAATGAGAGTTTCAGAAAAAGATTTTACTATAAATTTGCTTTTTTTCTTAGCAGATGGTGACAATGCTTTTTTTTCTCAAATTGTACAGCTCATTATTACATATATATATATATAAGCAGTCAGTTCGTCTGAGATATTTTGCTAATCTTTTTTTTTTCCTAAAGAAAGTTATGATAGTAAAACCTAGTTATTGTGTACTAACGTATTTGATGATTTGAATTTGATAATTAGTTTTAAATCCGTCATGAGAGTTAAATATTATAATAGTTATATAAATTTTAACAAAATTGTTAATCTCAAAATATATTTTTGAACTACGTTCTAGCATTTGAATAATTGAATTAAGAAGTGTGTAGATATTCTTAAATATTCTTACTCAAATTAGTAAGATGTAGAAAATCCCACAAACGTGTACATTGCACCCAACTGAGTGTTATTTACTTTATGTGTGCAATTAAATAAAATAAAAGCCCAGTTTTTTTGTTTCTAAAGTAATATAAAATTAATAATCTTAATAAATGTTATATTGTCCAAATTATTATAGATTTATATAAAACCTTCTCTAAAGTATTTAGTGCTATGGTTAAGAGTGATATCTTAGAGATTAACTACACATTGATGGTATATCCAAACAAAAGACGTGCTGCAAAAGTCGTCTTGTTTTTTCATGGGTAGACTTTACTGAAAATATTGAGTAGCGAATTCTCGCTATGTCTTTGAAGAACAGATACTGTAGAAGAAGGTTCAAATAACCTTTTTATTTGAACTGAAGTAAAGAAAGAATGCACTCCTCAATGCTCACAATTTACTACCATTGGTGGCTAAGTAACTCGAAGAGAAAATGGAAATGCAAAATCAGAATAAGTCAGATGGACTGCGCGACTGGCTCCTTATTTAATCTAAACGGCTAAATCGGCTGCGCACAGGAAACCGAACCTAAGTATCAGTATGATCTAAAGAGATTGGCTAAACACCAACTATTCACTTACAAAGCTCTTTCAAACACGCGGCACTAACTGTCCTACTACTATTTTTAACTAGTTAACTGTGATTGACGAGTATACTCGTCATGGAGAAGATATTGTGTATTGATGAGCATACTCGTCACGCGTATAATGAATTGGAAAGATAAGAGGAAAATGTATTTAGTAAGTACTGTACATAATGACAACGTAATAGAAAAAGAGAGAAGAAAAATAATAACGAAGAAACCGAGCTAGGGATTGATTATAATAATCAAATGGGTGGAGTAGATATGAGCGATGGAATTATCATAGCGTACTCCACAGCAAGAAAACGACTCAAAAAGTACTACAAAAATACATTTCTCCATTTCTTAGACATTATGTGTCTGAATGCATTCATATTATATAATAGAAAATAATGGAACATTATCGCGTATCAACTTTTTACTCAAATTTATTGAAGACATTTTTGCGACGGGTCCAATTGAAAGAAATAAATCGACACAAACTCGGCCATTTAGACCTAATATAACCCAATTAGGTGGGAAACATGTTCCTGATTATATACCTGGAACATCGGGAAAAAAAACCCTACTCGAAGGTGTTCGCATTGCTACAAACTTAAGATCAGGAAGGAATCGCGTTCCTGGTGTTCGATTGCAAAGCCCCATTGTGTATAATTACCCTGTTTGGCTGAATATCACTCTACAGCAGGAATTTAAATTTTTACTTTTATATGTATAATAAACAATTGAATTTATTGCGCTTTTAGTTTAATATGTATGTAATATATGCTTATTTTAACCAAATTAGCAAATATTAGTAATAAAATTCTTACCAGCGCAAATTACTCTGTGATGGACGAATATATTCGTCATGGCTTGATTCTGGCGACACAAAACGCTGCGCACTCTTAAACAAGAGCGCTACAGCTAACTGGCTAGAACAGCTGCTTAAATATTGATTCCGTACTGACTTAGATTTGCATACTAGGTTATTAAAATTTATATTTACAGGAAACTGAATTCAGAAGAGAAAGGAAAGTTTCGCAAACTAAAAATAATTGGTTAGAATAAAATAAGGTCGTTACAGTCCGTTACAGTACCGTTAATCATATTTTAAGTAATACTAATACATTTTAATATTTAGTATTATGACAACTGGCTTATAATTATGCCTCAATTCTCTTCGGCCTTGCTTCGATAAAGTGTTTGAAGTGCTGCTGTGAATGTTTGTCATAACCTCATTTGCTCTGGGCCCTTTGAATTAATTTATACATCTTTGTTATTTATCCTATATAAATTTAATTCTTGCAGCCTATCCATATACCATATCAGAATTACGTACTAGGCTTTGGAATAAATTGTAGATAAATACTAGAAAAGACATTATCACATTTTCGTTGAAGTTACTTTCTTGTCGGTATTTCGTCATGTATATAATTAAGCAGAAAGTGTAAAACTCGTAGTAAAATGTAAATGATATGTAAACATAAATGCTAATTAGCTAAAATGGTTTAAAAGACTTAAGTGCTACTTTACAATCATATTTTAAAAGATGTACAACCAAATTCATTGTTTGGTTACAAAACATTTTAAAAGATGTACAACATTGTTTGGTTCAAAGTATGGTTACGAAGTGCATTAAATATATTATGTGGTCATATGGTTATAACTTATTTAAAACATGCATTAAACCAGGGTTTCTCAAACTTTTTTCCATTTGCCACCCCCTTTTATCACTGAGATTTTTTCGAAACTCCCAGGACCCCATAATATTTACAAAACTTTCGTGGGACCCCATAAATATTGCACAAATACGATACGCGCCTGAGTGACACTTTCAATTTTTTCACTTGTACTGTAATATACTATTACGTTTTTAGGTCATTAATTTCTAGTTTTAAGACATAGAACAATGTGAAAATTTTAAATAAGTAACAGACGGAATGACAGCGTCACGAGCAAAGCAAGGAAAATGAAAGTTTATATTATAAAAACAATGCGTCAAAACGATTTCGTTTCTTATTTTGTCTGTATTATCTTTATCTATTTTCAGATAAATTGTGTAAAAATACTTGGTAATTGTAAAATTATTGTAATAAGTTAAAGAAATATCAAAACTGCTAAAATTTTTGACGACCTCCTGCTGCAGGTCCCGCTACCCACAGTTTAAGAAGCCCTGCATTAAATAATTCAACCAATATCGATTTTTAAGGTATCAAGTGTATATTGTATCGATTTTTAAAGTATCAAGTATATGGCATGGATTTGAGAAGGAGCTGTTATGTATATCATGTTTTCTATGTTTCTATCGAAACCAGTATCGATGCACTTTTGTTCTTGAATATTTGTGTTTCTCATCAGTATAAGGTTTGATTTATAGATGTGTGTATGTACTTTTTTATTTTCAAAGTGAAGTGTCATATTATAAGTATGAAGTGTAATGTTACATATTTTCCCTCACTATTGTGATTCTAGTAATTTGATGCTGGGAAATGCGTCGTAAATAGATTTTTTTTTGTGTATATAATATGTGGTACGTTTTTAAAATTTTAAGCCTTGCATGATCATTTATTTTGTTTAATGACTTCTGTGATTGATAATATCATTTTAAATACTTGAAAGAATAAATTCGTGTCAATATTTTGAAAGACAGTTGCATTTATTAGTGTATGTTTTCGAACCATATTTCATGTATTGTCTATTTCAGTCATATTTTAGAAATGAGATGAATTTAGAATCATGTTTATTAAAGTTTTCATAAGTGTTTGAATGCTCATGATCTAAAACAGAATTGCTCCTAAGGTTAAATTAAAGGAGAACATTATGAAATAGATTCTAAACATATTCTCTTTTCACCCCACTTGCACTGAAAGGTAAATTTTCTGGAACTGTGACTGGTCTTCTAAGGCCCATATCACAAGGCGTTTGTTTCACACTAACAACTGTTTCGAACAATATTTCTACCTGTTTGTTTCACAAAAAATTGCAAGTTGTTCGTTTTCAAACAATCAGCTTGTTTGTAATGAGGAACCAGTTTTCGCTGTGTTAACCCCAAAGCTATCTATGGTGATTGGCTGTTGTGAAAAAGCAAAAAAAAAATTTTCCAAACAGTTGCTCTTCCGAAACAAACCGACGTGTGATAGCAGCCTAAAAGAAATCTTCATAATTCTTATATCCCACTTCCGTTAATAGAAATGTTAAAAGCCATATTCATTGTGGAATCCTAGGTAAATGCAAAGGTATCGTAAATGTAAAGATAATGTAAAGGCTAATCAAAGCTAGGTAAATGTAAAGGCTAATCAAATTGAAACATCTGCATTTATTCTGTAATACGGCACTACGGCACAAAATTGCTTTTACATACAGATATTACAACTATATTTCTTCAAACATTTTCTTGAAAGTGATCGATACAAGTCTTTTCCAATTATTAAAGATACTCGTAGCCATTGATCTTGCAAGACGCTAGCCGTTTCGTTTCATGATGATGAAGAAATAAACTGCTTTTCAGTTCTCATATGCAAGTGAAAGGTGGAAAACAGTTTACGAAGCATAATCCATAAAGACTGAACATGGTTGAGATCAGAAGCATTCGCAGCATATGGAAGATGCTTAAACAAGTATTCATATCCTTTTAACGACTTTTGTTACCAATTTTGCGGTAAGAACTGATGTATCGTCGTTCTGATGTACATGTTTCGGGACACAGGGTTTAGCAACTATGTGGACATTGATAGTTCTTGGCAATAACGTAACTATCGAGAATAACAATTGTTCCAAGAAACTTTTATGACACTGAATCCCAACATCTTACCAATGACAAATAATATCCAAACGTCTTTCTGTGTATTAGACTGCCGGAATCATGTGTCTGTGAAGTACATTTTCCCAGACGTGAGAAAGACGATGAAAATGGATTTGTCAGTGTTTGAAACCACTGAAACCAGCGGTCAGAGGATGAATGGTTAACAACGGCTTTGCATTAACTAATAAACCGTAAATGTTAATGCTGTGAATCACATGACCGGCAGTTATAGAGAGAAGAATTGACTCATTTAGGAAAAATGTGAAGTTCTGGCATAATTTAGGTATAAGTTGCTGTATATTTTTGAGCCATAACTCGATCTAACATTCTAGCATCTTAATTATATAACTTCCGTATACTTCGGATTGGCCGATTGTCTACGCGTTTTTGGAATGCCGCTACGTGCATGAATACTGTTGCATTCCATTCATCTGTAAAAATGCTAAATAACTAGTAAAAGATACAACACGCAAAAAAAAAAAAAAAAAAAAAAAAAAAAAAAAATATGCCATGGCTGTGTTTCCCCTTTGAACTCTTTGAGCCCTATATAGCATTCATTTATATAAATATAAATTGTAATGTCTCTGTTACGTCTCTCTCTCTCTCTCTATCTGTGTAATTTCGCTGAAGGTTTAAATAACAGAACCTGATGATCTTGACATAACTGTAAACATTTCATGCTTTTCATCTAGAAACACTTATTCGTTGGCTTGAAACATGAAGTGTTGTATTGGCCATGTGTTTCACTTCCATTACCTAAATTCAACATTTATTATTTCGAAGAAATAAAATACTTAATTCCCAGGATAGTCCGTCGAAAATCAACAAGTATCATAAAAACAAAGGTGGAAGGAAACCAAAACAATGAATACTTATTTGAATAGTTATGTAATAAATTTATCAAACTTTAGAAGTTTAAAAAATATTTTCTTAAATATTCATCTTTTTTTGTTTATAATTATTATAATTTATTATTTTTCAAACAAATGCATTAATTATGTATATCAGTGCATGCAACTTCATACTAAAATGATTAATGTTGAAAAAAATGAATCAAACAGGCAATAGTAATTAGTAAGAAATTTTATAAATGGTGTCCTAAAATGTAATTTGTCAATACCGAAATGGTTTGTGTATGTTCAACTAAATTCAGGCAAACTAAACACAAATACATCCCGTTTTAAGACATAAATTCCTTTATTCATATATTCATTTTAAGAAATGAAAACATGTTTCATGAAGATATTCCATCGACATTTCCTGCGGCAGAATTTGAGCGTTGTATTTATCAATCAAACACTGTATTTTGTGTAATACATATGCTCTCGTTTCTGTAATTTAAATTTAATATTTCAGTAAACAAAAATGTAAACTTATTCCTTTATTTTCCTGAAAATATAATATTTATGGGCGGTAAATGATTCATAGATAATTATAATTGCAAATTAGAAATCCAATGCTAAAATATATTCGTGAAAATATATACTTTCAGAAGCAGTAGTTATGTTAAAAATATATTACGTCATTGTATCTTTCGAGAAGATGTAATATCGTATCTTTGATAAAAGATTCAGTGGACGAGTTTTTAATTCTTCATTAATTAA